AACAGAGTAATTGAGATTTATCAGTCTGGAAAAGGTTATAAAGCCATTTCTAAAGCTTTAGGATTCCAGCGAACCACAGTGAGAGCCATTATCCACAAATGGCGAAAACATGGAACAGTGGTGAACCTTCCCAGGAGTGGCCGGCCGACCAAAATTACCCCAAGAGCGCAGCGACAACTCATCCAAGAGTATCCAAAATACACCAGCAAGTCCACCTCCGAATGGCTTAAGAAAAACAAAATGAAGACTTTGGAGTGGCCTAGTCAAAGTCCTGACCTGAATCCATTTGAGATGTTGTGGCATGACCTTAAAAAAGGTTAAGGCTCGAAAACCCTCCAATGTGGCTGAATTACAACAATCCTGCAAAGATGAGTGGGCCAAAATTCCTCCACAGTGCTGTAAAAAATTAATTGCCAGTTATTGCAAACGGTTGATTGCAGTTGTTGCTGCTAAAGGTGACCCAACCAGTTATTAGGTTTAGGGGGCAATCACTTTTTCACACAGGGCCATGTAGGTTTGGATTTTTTTTCCCCTTAATAATAAAAACCTTCATTTAAAAACTGCATTTTGTGTTTACTTGTGTTATCTTTGTCTAATTTTTCAATTTGTTTGATGATCTGAAACATTTCAGTGTGACAAACATGCAAAAAAATAAGAAATCAGGAAGGGGGCAAACACTTTTTCACACCACTGTAATTATCTTTCTGCAGAACAGGGGTACGTTGTTCAAGTCTCTCCAGACAATCACTGCTGGAGGGTTTGGGCGTGCTGAGAAATGTTGCTTTCGTCTTCCGAATATGGCTAAGCGTATCTGACTCAAGGTTAATTAATATGTGTCAACTTCAGCTGCAATAGGCATAGCATTGGATGCATCGTGCCAGCCAAGGTGATGCCTTGCTGTCAATGTTAATACTTAAATGCACTGCCTGCCCTTGGATTCCCTCCAGTCTTTCCATTAGAATAACCAATTATTTGCTTCTAAAAAGATATCTGTAGACTAACACTGCGGAGGATTCCTCCTTTTATTTTCTGAATGTAAAAAAAATGTTGTGCTTCCTTGATTAAAATCGCATATTTACTCTGACATAAACGCTGACTAATAAGGTGTTCACTTCTGAAGACCAAACAACAATCACAGCTGAATGCTTATGTGTTTGAGAGATCTGTATTGGGCACAAAACTATTCCTGTAAGAATGAAGAACTGATTGCAGAAAATTAAAATGCGTTTTATTTGGCTTTATTGTGCACTGCCATCAGAACCTGGTATGCTTTTTAGTGTAAAGCAGTATTGGTGTTTCCTAAGCTGTTGTTCATTGATCAGGAACTCTCAGGGACAGAAGGTGTAAGACCTATATCGGAGGCATTACTGTGAGTTAATCTAGTGTTGCTAATAAAAAGACAAAATGCAAAAATGCAGGTGTGTGGCTCCTCTAACCAAAACATTTTTTGTGAATTGGTCGTTAGGGATTCCAATACAAAAGCTAAATTAAACCCCATTTTTTGTGAATTGGTCGTTAGGGATTCCAATACAAAAGCTAAATTAAACCCATTGTGCTTTCGTGATAAAGTTTTAAACGTTTGTTAGAACTGACATCAGAGCAGTCTTCAACGAACACTTCCTATTGATTTGACGAAAAGGGGATTTTTGTGAGCATGGAAAATGTTTCACAACAGCATTTAATTTTGTACCATATTTTCACTTGTACCTACTATTACCATGATTGTTGTGTTGTACATTCAGATAATATGTTATGTTATTCTGAGAAACATAAAATACTTTATATGTTAAATGCAGTGATTTTGAGAACCATATTACAAAGGCTAAGCTATGAAGGATACAGCTTCGTCACATTTGTTGGAATGCTCACTGTCTTCTCATGGTACAATACAACTGTGTTTATCTCGCTAGAAACACACAACCCACATTGTTTTCTGAAGGGTACACAATGCAGATCCCTAGAGGCAGAAGATTTACTGTTTTGAGGTTCAATGTTTTAAAAGTAACAGGGTTAATTTATTATCCTAAATGTTTTACTTCTGGGAAGAAAAAGTCTCCCATGCCAGTTTACTAGAAAAATAAGTCATCTGTTTTTTCTCTAAGAATGGGAAAAAAAACAAGAACTTCCGTCTGCATTTTCTTTTATGAAAATCTTCGGATGTTTTTCACAGCTGATCTTTTAACCCTGCTTATGTCAGCAGCGAGTGGCTGACTCACCCGTTTGTGTCTGTGACTGAAATATGAAACCCCAGCAGTGACGTCAGCAGGTTGTCTGCAGAGAAAGGTCTAATGCAATCAACGGCTCTTCATCAGCCAAGCCCATCTGTATCTCTATCAGCAACTTATTAAATAAAGAGACCAGATGAGCACTGTGTGCCAGTTCTCTGTTTTCCCATTTTAATAGTTATGACTCCATTGTCAAATTACAGTACATTTCAGAGTCAAGATAAAAAGGGAAATCAGAGGTGCTCTTTACTGTTTTTATGTTTTTTTTTTTGCTTTTTAATGAATTCTTGCCATTTATTAAACACTACTTAAAATGAGCTAAACTGTATTGTGAAGACCAAGCACGGTCAATTCCACTGCTATCACACTAGTGCTCAGTTAAATGGTGCCGCTTTGTCTAGTGTATAGCTCAAA